TGAGTCAGATCAGAGGGATATTTGACTAAAGGTTAAACATTGTTAAGCATTATAGAGAATGAATGTCAATTCCACGATGGGTTTTTATTATTAGCATCATTTAGTGTTCTTTTTTCCCTTTTAGTAAGCTAAGGTATTAAGTGTGGGCTGGGCCATTTGGACTTTTGAATGACTGCTGACAGACCCTCCTCTTATGCCTGGCAGACATGAGCAGGTTGCTGTAGCCAGAGAGTCCCCTCTTTGCCCTCAGGGTACTCTGAGGAAAATTCCACTCCTGCTGCAAAGACCACTGCAACCATGACTGCTGTAGAAACAACCACTCCTGATGCAGGAGCCTTGCTCCAGTCATGATCACTCCAGGCAACTTGTGCCAGCTTTGGAAGAATCCACTCCAGCATTGGATGACTCCACTCCAGTGCAAGACAAGCCTTGGTGAGCTCCAGATGATAGTGCTCACTTAGGATGGAAAGGGGATTCAGCAAAACGCATGTGATTGGTGCATGTGTAAGGCTGTGATGGTGCGAACTGGAGGCTTTGTGAACAATGCAGGGACTGTGATTTAGTAATCATAGAATGTGAGCCAAGTATGCCAACCTGCTGTTCAAGCTTGTATAAGTGGGCCATCTCTCGAGTCTTGTCCTCTAGGGTTGGAAGGTTTCTCTCCTGAGTACTTAACTCCTGGTGTTCCAAATGGTTTCTTTGCTCACTGTGGTCTTTATCACAGGTCTTTATCACTGCAAGAAGTTAAGACTAGGAATGACAGCAGAAGTACTGAGAAGGTGCTGACACTTGAGGAAGGGCAAGTTCTAGTTGCCAGATGTAATCATAAAGGTACAGGATTCTAAAATGTTTTCTTTATGGAAATGTTTTCTTATGAAAAGAAGTATTTTCTTTGTAAGTATATCCCTTTTTATTCTCTAGTTCTTTGTGAAAGCCTGCATACTTAATGAGTTGTCATTTAGTGCACAATAACATTAAGACATTCGTGAGTCCTGCAGAAGCCTGACCTGCTCAGTTGTTTTAAGGACATTTTTCTTTGATATTTCTTCCCCTTCCAAAAGAAACTCATCTAAAATGAAGTCGTCTCAAAATTAAAGATGATATCAATTTAACACCCACAGCCAAAAACTTGATTGTCAAATCAATTACCACCTTAACAATGAATTCTTTCCCAGGGTTAATAGGTTAGTGTTGATCCCAATAGCAGAGCAAAAATAAAGTAGTGTATCTTTTGTATACAATTCTCAGATTTCACTACTCAAGGAGGCTGCATATTTTAGGTTTTCATGCTAAAACAATTTGAACAAGTCCTCTTGTGATCTTTTTTTTCCCTATGTCTGACAGTAGGACATAAAATTTCTGCAGTCAAAGCTTTTCCTTACAACTTAAAAGACACAAGCTGGGCAAGGTGGTACACATCTGTAATCCCAGCTGCAAGGGAGGCAAAGAAAGGAAGATTGAGAGGTCACGTTTATTCCTGGACAACCAGTCAAAGATAGTGAAAACTTATCTCAAAAAGCAAAATCAAAAGAAAAGGGGATGGGGGCTAGGTCAAGTGGTATAGTGCTTGCCTAGCATGTGTGACACCCTGGGTCTGGGTTCAATCCCCAGTACCACACACACACACTCACACACACACACACACACACACACACACACACACACACACATATAACATGAATTGCCTATTGACCTAGCATCTGAGGAAAAGCCCCTGCATCCACATTGAGGGAGAGAAGAAGCTGCTTTCATCTTGCTTTTTTTCTTGTGTCCCAAATATGCCCCATAGATACTATTTCTATCACAGCTGTTAACATTTTATTCAAATATTTACCTATCTGTTTCTTTCTCATTGGTTGAGAGATTTTTTTGAAGATAGGTTGTAAATCACAATTGTTATCATTTCAGTAGCTGGCACTATTTCTGTCATATATTAGCAGCCTAAAAAAGATTTTAAAATATTGGAAGTTTAATGGATTCTTGGTCCCTCTTCTCAATTCCCTTTCTGTAGATGAATTTTATATGTCTCCTGATTCCTCTTGACGTGAGCTTCTCTTCCTCTCCCTCAACACACACACGCACATGCACATGGCACATGCACACATACACACATTTTTTTCTTCTTTCCTGTTGCCCATGGCTCCAATTCTCATGCTGATTGGCAGGGAAACTCTTACCAGTTTAAATATGAGAAGACCTTCATTTTTACATTTCTTTCCAAAGTAGCCGGGGGAGAAAAACCACTGTTACACAATTGGTGGGGTCTGGCAGAACCTTTTGAGTGCTGCTGATACAGCCTTCTGCAATGTATGAATTATTAAGAGAGCTTCTCTTGCTACGTCCAAGTGCCCCAAAACCTAACTGTGGCCAAAATGTATAGCTTGGCCTGTTTCATTGGCATTAGATGAGAAAAGCTGTGCCAAATAATCCACGAGAGCTGTACAATGCATGTGGATGTGTGTGGTTTGGGTGTGTTTATGGCTTGCCAGGGAAAAGAAGGGAATGGTAAAGTGGAAAGGTCAATTACAGTGAAAATTTTCTGATGTTCATACATTGCTGGACATTGGCATATTGGCTTGAAGACATAAATAGATGCTTCCTTACCTGGTGGCATGTCACAGGAATTAAGAAAGGTGCCTTATAAACTTTTCGAAACTGACAATCTTCTACAGCTCCATGGATGAGGACAACATGGGTTACATTTTCATCATAAATAACAGTTCTGGTGGTCCTCGGTATATTTTTAATATAAACATTACTGAGCTTTAGTTGCAACTTGTAGTTCCAGTCCTGTAAGAAAAAACACATTTTCATAGTCTATTATTTGTTCATTAGGAGTTTAATGTAAATTCATAGCCAATTTATAACAACATCTTAATGCAATTTCATTTGGAGAAAAGGAGTTTACACAAATACCTCTTACCTCATAAGATAAATCTTCCCTAATTTTTTGGGCAGTAATACCAAGTCCAATTTTTCGCCACATTTTATTTTGCATGAGAGGAAAGGACGTTTTAAAGCCTTCATATAAGTGACTTTTGGGAATAAAATATGTCTGGAAAAAGGAAGATATCAATTTAACATTTCATATGCAACTATGCCTTAAGAAATATGTTTTCTGTTAAAATAATATTAAGGCAAAGAATTTAAAATGTAAGACTTACACTGAGGCCTGGAAACACGATAAAATGTATATATTGGTAAATATTATGTGATCTTGTCATATACTAAATTGTAAAAGGCCATATGATTCAATGAGAGGTTCTTTAGTATTCCTTTCAAAAATTATATCTATTCATGGGGTATATGTTATTTTGATATACACATACATTGTGAAATTATATCAATCTAACATATTGACCACCTTTCACACTTTTATTAACAAATTTTAAATAAGTAATAATTGCGTATACTTATGTATACGCGTATACAAGGTGATATTTTGATCTATGTATACATACGGATTCAATCAAGCTGATTAACATTTTCATTACCTTGCCAACATGTCATTTTTTGTGATGAGAACATTATGGTTCCATAGTTTTAGCAAGTTTGAAATATGCGTTGTTATTAACTCTGGCACCATACAATGTAATAGATCTCTAAACCTTACTCCTCCAGTCTAACAAAAATGTTTTACTCTTTGATCAGTACTTTCTCTTTCCCCATCCTTTCCCCTAAAATTGGATTTTGGTAACCCCTTTCTACTCTGTTTCTATGAGATCCATTTACTTTTTTAGATTCCACACACAGTGAGATTATACAGTATTTTTCTTTCTGTGCCTGGTCTACTTTATTTACTATAATGTCCTCTAGGTTCATTTGTGTAGTAAGGGACTTAGAATTCCATTCTTTTTTAAGGCTGAATAATATTCTATTGTGTATGTATATTCCACATTTTCTTTAATCATTCATCAGTTGATGGACACAGGTAGTTTCCATTTGTTGGCTTGTAGTAAACTTGACAGTGTAGATGTGTCTTCAGCATATTGATTTCATATTTCCTTGGAAATAAAGCTAGTAGTGAGATTTCTAGATCACATGGTGGTTCTATTTTTATGTTTTTTAAGAGCCACTGTACTGTTTTTGGAATGGCTATACTAATTCACTTTCCCACTAACAGTTTGCAGCAGTTCTCTTTTCTCTACCTCCTCAACAGCACAGTTATCTTTTGTCTTTTTGTTTTGTTTTGTTTTGTTTCTGAAGACAGGATTTCATGATATAGTCTAGGCTGGTCTCAAACTTGTGATCTTCCTGCTTTAGATTCCAGACTGTCTTTTGCCTTTTTGAGAGTGGTCACTCTAACATGTTAGATGATACCTCTTTGTGGTTTAATTTTCATTTTTTTTTCAAATATCTATTGGCTATTTGTATGTCTTCTTTGGAGAAATGTATGCTTCATTTTATTGCTCATTTTGCTCATTAGATTATTTATTTTTTGCTATTGAGTTATTTATGCATTTTGAGAATCAATCCCTTGTGAGATATGTAGTTTGAAAATACTTTTTCACATTTTGCAGGAATTCATTGTTCTTTTTACTCAAGATTGCTTTGGCTATTAAGGTTTTCCATGGTTCCATGTAAGTTGTAGGATTATTTTTCTAGTTCTGTGATGAAATGTCATTGGTATTTTGATAAGGACTACATTGAATCTCTATATCACTTTGAGTAGTATGGAATATGTACTATACAGTGTGGAATACACACACACATACACACACCGTACACAGTGATACTAGGGTTTGAACCCACAGCCTTGGGCTTATTGTTAAGCAAGCACTTTACCACAGTACCAGGTTCTCTTTCTATTTTTTTGTGTTTTCTTCAATTCTTTTCATCAATGTTTTCTAATTTTCATCTTTTTGGTTTCACCCTAGGTATTTTTTGTTTCTATTTTAAATGAGATTGCCTTCCTAATTTCTGTTTCAGACAATTTGCTCTTGGCACATAGCAATGCTGATTTTGTATGTTCACTTTACATCCTATAATGTTACTGAATTTGTATTAGTACCATTAGCATTTTGGTGATCTTGGAGATTTCCCGTATATAAGATTATTTTATCTGCAGTGACAGTTTGACTTCTTTCCAATTTAGATACAGTTTAATTCTTTCTCTTGCCTAATTATTCTGGCAAGGACTCCAGGATTATAAATATGGTAAACATGGGTATCCTTGTCTTGTTCCAGACCTTAGTGGAAGTGATTTCATCTTTTTATCTTTCAGTATGATGTTAGCTTTGGGCTTATTATATATGGCCTTTATTATGCCGATATATGCTCCTTCTATACTTTGTTCAAAAGTGTTTACCATGAAGGGATGGTGAATTTTATCAAATGCTTTTTCATTTTCTTTCTTTCTTTTTTTTGGTCTCTCACCATATTGTTAACAACTTCAGAAAGAGACTAAAAGCTTTTCTCAAAGAGGGATATGAGAAGGAACCCTTCATATTTCTTTCAGGGACCCAACTTGAGTGGAAAAGGGTGAAGTTAAGTGGTCACTGTAGGAAGATGCTACAAAAGGCAAAGACTATAGCTAGCATCTCCCTAGCTTTTCCCTAAGACAAGCAACAGTAGTCTGTTGGAGATCTACTCAGATGCTTCAAATGCTTTTTCTTTGTCTTTAAGATTACATGTTTTTTCCTTTGTTTTGTTGAACTGGTATATCACATTCATTGACTTGCAATCTTTTTCTGTGTGTGTGTGTGTGTGTGTGTGTGTGTGTGAGTGACAGGTTTGAATTCAGGGAGTCACACTTGCAAAGCAGGTGCTCTACCACTTGAGCTATACCTCCTTGACTTGCAGCATATCTTGAACCACACTTTCATCCTTGAGATGAATCCCACTGGATTGTGGTAAATACTCTTTTAAATATACTATTGTATTCGGTTTGCTAGCATTTTGCTTCTATGTTCATCATGGGTATTGGCTTATAGTTTTCTATTTTTGTTCTATGCTTTTCTGGTTTTAGTATCAGGCTAATGCAGGCCTCAAAGATTGAGTCTGGAAGTTCTTCCTCTTCCCTTGCTTTCCCTCCTGTCTTCTTCAAGGCATCTTTTGTTATTCTTATTCTAAACTCTTGTGTTATGATCTCTTACATGGCTTCCTGAGTTCTTATAAAGGTAGTGTCATAGCTACTCATGCTTCAGTAGGGAGAAAAATCACTGGAGGGTCAATTTTGACATCATCTTGGCATAAGTCTGTATACATTTTTTTTTGAGCCAGGATCACCTCCAACTCATGAACTCCCTGCCTCAGCTTCCTGAGTGCTGGGATTATAGGCAAACCTCACCACACCTTGCTTTTCCGTATACTTAAAAATCATTGTTCTCTGTTTTTTTCCAGACCACATCATCTCTATTATCTGTCTTCTCTTTCACTGACTCTTTTTTTACTGCCATCTCAATCTACTCTGTTTGACTCTAAAACTCCATTTGACTCTTTTCTATATGTATACATTATATTGATATTTCTTATCTTTTCTATTTTTAAAATCAGATTTTACTTTGAGTATATTTTCCTTTATTTCATTGAATCTCTTCTTAAAAACAAGTCTTTGTCCACCCAGTCCATACTCTGAGCAATCTCAATATTGTTTCTGTTCAGTGTCCTCCTCCACACTTACTTCTTATACCATAGGTTATCATTTCATGTTTCTTTATATGTTAAGTAACTCAAGATTGCTGATGATACCATATAGAGATTCCAGATTTTTAAAAAATCTTTTTCTGAAAGTTGTTGATTTCTGTTGTAGGAGGCAATTCATACACTATCTGAGATTATGCCTGTGATTTTATGATTTGCTTGAGTTAATCAATAGAAGCCCCTAGGTATTTTCCAAAGCAATGTAACTTGGAGGTTTCTTCCTTCACAACATCCTTCCTAATCCTACTATAGGAGTATAATTTATAACAAATTCTATTAATTAAAATTCTTTACTTTTAGAATATTTTTTAAAGCTCCCCAAACCTCTCAAGCTTTTTAAAGAGTAGCTCTTCACATATGCATGCATAAATCATGGCATAATACAGTTAAAAAATTCTATTCCAAAAAAATTATCTAATGTATTCTGTTGCTGTTCAAATTTTCCCAATTGTCTCAAATTTGTCTCCTTATAAATGGTTGTTCAAATCAGAACAAATGTATTTGGTTGCTATATCTCTGAAGTCCATTTTCATAGCTTTCCCTTGCCTTCCTTCTCTTTCACCCCACACATTTTTTATGCCATTGATTTGTTGACAGAGTCAGGTCATTTGTTCTGCAGAATCTTCTACTACTGGATTTAGCTAACTTTTTCCTGGTGTCCTTAAGTTGCTTCTCTCCTTGCATTTTCTGTAAAATGGTTCAGTCAGGCTTGAACCATTTCTCTTTGCTTGTGACTTCATGGGATGGGTGTTATTATTCTTTTTGAGTTCAAATTAGACCAGGAGGAACCTCTGGCATGTTGAGGATTTTGTCCTTAACCATGTCTTGGGAAACTGGCTTTTTTTTTTCTTGCTTTTTTTTTTTTTCCCTTTCAATACCAGGGTTTAAGCTCATGGCCTTGCTAAGTAGGCACCCACTCTTTTTGCTTTAGTTGTTTTTCAGATAGGGTATCTCTTTTCCCCTGGACTGGCCTTGGGCTGAGGTTCTCTTGTCTACCTGTGCCTCCACATAGCTGAGATTACACAGCCACATCCAATTCTATGTCTATGCAAACATTGCCAGTTTTTCCATGAATAAATTCCAGCTCTGACTTTTCCACCTTCCTTATCTTCCAAATTATAGTATTGATAATTAATGTATCACCAAACAATTTCGCTGTGAAATAGCTCCTAACGAGCAGTTTCTCTGGTTAAATTCCTTCTTTATGGAAGGTTCACATCCATAAATAATTTTGCCAAGACACTATACTAGGTGAGTAAAATTTTATAGCAAAGTTTGTCCCTTTATTTTGTAATTTTTAAAAAAAAGTAAATTGTCACTAGACTGTAGATGTATATTAAGCACTGAAAAACCCTTACACTTGATACCAGACATTGAATGACATACAATAGTAGGATACAGGTGATGTTTTCTGACCTCCACTACAGTCTTGCAGGTGGCAGAATATTTCATTGGTTCATTAATTAAGCAATTTAACTCTCCTATTATTTCACCACTAAGCACGTAGTCTGTGAAAAGTAGAGGGTAACCTTTCTCCTCGGGTTCCACAGGTGCTTGGTCTGCATCAATACCTGGCTTTGCTCTTTTAAGCTACTCAGGAAGAAAGAAAGAAAAAAAGAAATGTGACAGTTAACTTACATTATCAAAATTGCCTAATTTATGATTTTCCACTTTTAACAATTATAATGCATGCATATTGTTTTGGGTATGCTTATTTCTCCTTTTCAAGCAAATTTACCAAGAGGTGTTTACTTAAACACAGATCATTCTTAAATAGTCTAATCTTTCTGATTTCACTTGCTCTCAACCTATACCTACTTGAAAGGACTAAATCTCCCACTCACAAACATGAGATGAGTAATGATTTACATTCTAATTTTCCATCTTAAAAGAAAAAAGATGATCCTTTTGAGGGTTTCTTTGTTTTCTTCAAGAGCGTATGGCTGAAAAGGTGTTGGGCATTATTGTCCCTCATCATCTGGATGACAGCTGCTGACTGACAAAAGAAACTGCGCAATACTTAATAGGCAATGGCATTAATTGTCAATTTTATAAAGTATTTTTTAAAGCTAATGCTCACAAGTGCCTTTCAACGTATCTTTGCTTTACCTTTACCATGCCCGAAATGATTATATAGATTCCTTTGGGCTCATCACCTTCTTCAAATATATCATTTCCACAATCATATGTTATAATTCTGGCTCTTTCCTAAAAAAAATTACCAAATACATCGTGAATAAACAATACTTTGGCAATAGTTGGGAGGGTTAAAATTTACATTTTAATAAATGTTTTATATTTTTAAGGTAAATATTCAGTAAGATCTAAGATATGCTGGTAATAAATTTGTATTAGAAAATAGAAATTAAGAATAGCAAAGAGAGGAAAGTGGATATTCATGCACATGTTAGATTTCAGATGGAGTATTGATGTGTGGGCCAGGAAAGAGAGAAGCTAGGAATAAGAATGTAATGGGGGAATGAAAATGTTTTATATGGGTGAAAATTGGGACAAATTAGGCTAATGGTACATCCATGTCTCATGTATTCGTTTTCTAAACAGATCATAAAGTAAATAAAAATTATTCATTCTGAGAATTTGGTGGGAAAATATAATTGATCTTTTAGCATCAAATAGACATAGAAAGAGAATATTATTAGAATGAGTCCAGTCCATTTATTTGTTTATTGCTTAAACACTAATTGAATGCCCATTAAGCACTATACAAAGTGATAGGAACTGGCTATTCAAAAGATGGTGAGCTAAAAAAAAAAAAAAAGCATCATAGGTGGCAGAAATGTAAAATTAATGATAATGGCAATTAATACAGTAATAAAAGTATATTATGGATACAATGGTAGCACATTTGCTCCTCTAAGTCAAAGATGGACCACAAGATGGTCTTCTGGTAAGAAGTTAAGTCCCACAGCCTACTTTTCTGGATACCTCTGGTGGGATTGTTTCCAGAGGCACAATAAGAAAAGAAGGCTTGAAAAAGAAGTGGAACCCGGAGACCTTTCAAGAAAAGTAGACAGCACCTACAGATGGAGTTAAAAAACAGTGTAAAGTGTGTGTGACACCATGAGTGGTTGAGTATAACTATAATATGAAGAGCACATGGCAAATGGGAAACAGAAGATAAAAGTGAAGAGACAGGAAGGAGACAGATTGGGGAAGGATTTTGTGCGACATTCAAAGTGAAAGGAAAACTAAAATAGGGGCCCTGAAACAGAGATCACCAGAATCCTGGAAGAACTGTTTCTGAGAAAGGCAGCTGTCTCCAGCCCAGAAACAGCTATCCTGAGGAAGAAGCAGAGAGCACTAGCCCAGAAACAGCTGCCTTGGGGAAATAAGGAATATTCACTGCAGAGAGAACAAAAGGAGCATCCCCACATCCCTCAGGGTGCAACCGGTTTCCAACCACAAAACCTGCTGCTCAAGGCATTCCTCAGCTAAGGAGTAGCTTTTACTTTCACTTCTTGTTGAATAAATCTTTCTTACTTTCACCTTGCTGGAGTTTTCTATCATTAACTCATTGATGCCTTAGAAAACAAGCTGCTCCCTTGGTGTAGTACAGCACACCTGTACATCAAAAGTTTGTTGATTTTATTCTACAGGTAGCAAAGATCACTTAGTTTTTAAACTAGCAAGTATCATGGTTAAATCCTTATTTTTTAAAGACTATTTTTATATTTAAAATATTATTATATGAAAGATGACATCATCAGGAAATAAAAGTCTTACCTGAATAAATTGTATACAGTCATCATCTTTATTAAGCCATGAAATATGATACAGAATTTCTTCAACAGAAGGAGGCTTAATAATAGATTGAAAATCAAGCACCTCTCTTTTTTTGGCCATGATCAACTAAAACCAGAAAATTTAAGATAGATGAACAAAATTGCTGTTCATAGAATGTTAAAAAAAAAAAAAGCACGTTATTGTACTGTTAATCAACTTTCTGTTGCTGTGACAAAATACCTCAGAGGATCAACTTAAAGGAGGAAAGATTTATTCTGGCTCATAGTTCCAGAGGATACAGCCCATGGTCACTCAACAGCATTGTTTCTAGACCATGATGAGGCAGAATATTGTAAGGTAGAGCAAAGCTGCTCACTTCATGGTGACCAGGAAGCAGAGAAAGGAGCCACGGTCCTAATCCCCCTTTAGGGCACATCCGCTATGACCTAATTCTCTAACTAGGTCCTACTTCCTACAGTTGTACCACCCTTCCAATGAAATCACAGGCCGCTGTCCAAGCCTTTACCACATGGCCTTTGGAAGACATTTCAGATCCAAACCATAACATGTACTGTTTCCTTTTCTTGATCTTCGGAGATCTTTGTTCTTCATGGAAACTTCCAGCCTCTCCCATCTAATGGCAATTTTCTGTCTTTGTATAATCATTATCTGCAGTCATAGATTAAGTTTTTTGGGATTTGAACTCAGGGCTTTGTACTTGCTAGGCAAGTACTCTACAGCTTGAGTCATGCCTCCAGCCCTTTTTCCTCTGGTTATTTTGGAGATAAGGTCTCTCTTTTTTCCCAGGCTGGCCTGGACCATGATCTTCCTATTGTAGGCTTCTGGCCTTAGCTAGGATGACAGGCACATACCACTGCACTTGATTTCTTTCTTCCATTGAGATGGAGTTTCATGAACTTTTTTACTAGAGTGACCTGCAATCCTCCTGATTTCAGGCTCCCAAGAATGTAGGATTACAGGTGTGAGCCACTGGCACCAAGGTTTTTTTTTGGTTTTTTTTGGTACTGGGGGTTAAACTCAGGGCCTTGCACCTGCCTTGAGTTTGCTAGGCAGGTACTCTATGACTTGAGCCACGTCTCTCCAGATCTTTAGCTTGTTAAAATAAATCTTTATATTGAGGTAAAGCAGATGTGCAGGAAGTGCCCAAATCATAGCTGCTTCAGGTTGGACTTGTATGAGTAATGCTGCTATGAGTATTTATTTGTATTTATAAGTATAGGATTCAGTTGGGTATAATATTATCTAATCTAATTGCTGGGTCATAAGAAATGGATGCATTCAACTTTGCCAGGCACTCCCAACAATTCTCCGAAGAGAATTGTTCCACTTTGCTCCACATCATTGTCTATACTTGGTATTCTCAATTTAAAAAGTGTAAGGCATTCTGGTAGTTGTATATTGGTACTTCATTTTGACTAAATTTGTATTAAGCTTATGACAATAATATTTGACACCTTTTTCTTATTTTTATTTGCCATATGAATACCTTCTGTCATGAAGTGTCTTCTCATCTTTTGCCCATTTTTAAGGAAATGAATTTTTATTGATATGTAAGTGATTTAAAAAATATATTCTGCATAGGAGTCTTTTATTGTATATATTCATCTTCCACATATGCTCCACATTTTTGTGTGTTTTCTTTTCATTCTCTTAATTTTTATTAATGTAAAGTATCAATTTTAATGTTACTTAAATCCAACTCTGTGTCCTGTTTAAGAAATCTTTGCTCATGCCAATATCTCTTACTTTTTTTCCAGGCACTTGTTATTTTACCTTATTAATTACAAATACACCTGGAATTGATGTTTTTGTGTGTGTATACAGTTCAAATTCATGAGTAAAACAGTGTGAAAACTACACAGGAAAAATAACTACTGAAACAAAATTAAAAGGGTGGAGGAATATGTCAATAGTTTGAGTCAATATTACAAAGATATTACAATTTTGCAATTTATTATTCTTTCCAAATTGACATACAGGCTTAAGGAAAGCCTACTGGAAATTTCAGTTGAGTGCTTAATGGAAATTTCCAAGATGTCTTTAAATTTTATTTGAAAACACAAAATAACAAATTTAGCCAAAGTAATCTTGAAGAACAAAACTGGAAGATACACACAATCAGATATGCAGATTTATTAAGTTTCAGTAATTGAGACAGTATGTTGGTTCAATGATGAGTAAAGAGGAGTCCAGAAACTTTTCCACACATATACATCCTTAATTTGTGACAGAGGCTTCAACAGAGTGCAGTGGAATGAGACAGTCCTGTCCATAAGCAGTGCTGGGTCAATTGATCCACATGGGAAAAATGTTAGCTTCACGGTGACATTTTTATGTAAGGCACACTAAATACCATTGCTCCTGTTCATCATTTCTGTTTCCTACAGAAACAGAATTTTTCTCTTTAATTCAAAACTCCTAGATATCTCTTTCTGTTTTTGGCTTTTTATATTGTATGTGGGTTCTGGAATTAATACTTAGATTAGAATACTGTCTCCATATTTACTAGCTGCCTAACCTCAGGGCAAGTGTGCCTCAGTTTATTATTTATTATATATAATAGTTATACAGGGGGGATACATTGTGACATTTACATATGTGCTTATAATATGTCTTAATTAGATTCATCCCCTCCATCATTCTCCCTCATCCCCTTTCCCCCTTTCTTAAGGACAATTTCAACAAGTTTCATTGTTTTATTTTCATACACATATACAAAATGCGTCCACCACATTCACCCTCTTTCACCTTCTCCATTTACTCCCCCACTGGTACCCACCCCAGGTCAAGACCTGTTTATCTTCCTGTTTGAGTGTATATTGATTGTTTAAGGGAGTTTTGCCTTGATAGTGCACACATGATATATGCACAAAAGACCTCAAATAGCCAAAACAATCTTGAGCAAAAAGATCAATGCTGGAGGTATCATAATACCTGACTTCAAATTATAGTACAGAGCCATAGTAATAAAAACAGCATGGTACTGGCACAAAACAGGCACCAAGTCCAATGGAACACAATAGAAGATCCAGATACAAACCACGCAGGTACAGCCATTTGATCTCCGATGAAGGAGTCCAAAACATGCACTGGAGAGAAGCTAATCTCTTCAACAAAAGGTGCTGAGAACACTGGATATCTTATCAGTAGATGATTGAAACTAGATCCCAGTCTCTCACCTTGTAGAGTATCAATTCAAGGTGAATCATGTTTTTTGGCCATTTGGACTTCTTTCTTTGAAAGAGTTCTGTTCAGTTCATTTGTCTATTTCTTCATTAGGCAGTTGATACTTTGAGAGTTTAGTTTTTTGACTTCCCTGTATATTCTGGTTATCAGTCCCTTGTCTGATGTGTAGCTGGCAAAGATTTTCTCCCATTCTGTGGGTGGTCTCTTCAATTTAGAGACCATTTCTTTTGTTGTGCAGAAGCTTTTTAATTTTATGTGGTCCCATTTGCCAATCCTTTCTCTTAGTTGCTGAGTTATTTGAGTTCTACTGAGGAAGTCCTTACCTATGCCTATTGCTTCCAGTGTATTCCCTGCTCTTTCCTGCACTAGCTTCAAAGTTTTAAGTCATATATTAAGGTCTTTAATCCACTTTGAATTGATACTGTTACAGGGTGAAGGACATGGTTCTACTTTCAGTTTTCTGCAGACAGATATCCAATTTTCCCAGCAACATTTGTTGAGGAGGATGTCTTTTCTTCATCATGTTTTGGGCTTCTTTGTCAAAAATCAGGTGGGTCTTTCTGTGTGGATTCATATCCGGGTCCTCTATTCTGTTCCATTGGTCTTCATATCTGCTTTTTTCCAGTACCTTGATGTTTTTATTGCTATGGCTCTATAATATAGTTTGAAGTTGGATATTGTGATACCTTTGGCATTGCTCTTTTTGCTCAGTATTGCTTTGGCTATTTGCAGTCTTTTGTGCCTCCATATTAACTTTAGGGTTGATTTTTCAATGTGTGTGATGAATGTCATTGGAATTTTGATGGGAATTGCATTCAACATGTAGATTGCTTTTGGTAATAGGGCCATTTTCACAATATTGATTCTGCCAATCCATGAGCATGGAAGATCTTTCCATCTTCTATTATCTTTGATTTCTTTCTTCAGCATTTATAGTTTTCATTGTAAAGGTCTTTACTTCCTTTGTTAAGTTTATTCCCATTTTGTGGCAGCACTGGGGTTTGAACTCAGGGCTTCATGCTTGCTAGGGAGGTGTTCTTACTGCTTGAGCCATTCTGCCAGGCTCCTAAGTATTTTTTTTTTTTTTGAGATATTGTAAATGGAATTGTTTTCCTATGTCATTTTTTCAGTCTGTTTATTGTTAGTATTTAGAAAGGCTATTGATTTTTATAAATTTATTTTGTATCCTGTTACTTTGCTGAAGGTTTTTATGATGTCTAGAAGTTTTTTGGTGGGATTTTCTGGGTCTTTTAGCTATACAATCATGTCATCTGCAAAACAGGAATAGTTTGGCTTCTTCCTTTCTTATTTGTATTCCTTTTATTTCTTCTTCCTGTCTTATTTTTATTGCTAGGAATTTCAAGACTATGTTGAATAAGAGTGGAGATATGGGACACCTTTGTCTCATTTCTGACTTCTGAAGAAATGGTTTTAGTTTTTCCCATTTACTATGATACTGGCTATAGGCTTGTTATAAATAGCCTTTTTTATGTTGAGGCACATTCCTTCTATTCCTTATTTCATCAGAGCATTTATCATGAAAGTATGTTGAATTTTGTCAAAGGCTTTTTCTGTGTCTATTGAAATGATTATGTGGTTTTTGTCTTTGCTTCTGTTAATATGCTGTATTACATTTAATGATTTGTATAGGTTGAACCATCCCTGCATCCCTGGGAAGAAACTGACTTGATCATATATCTTTTGAACATATTTTTGAATTTGGTTTGCCAGTATTTTCTTGAGAATTTTTGCATCTAAGTTCATTAAAGAGATTGGCCTATACTTCTCTCTTTTTTTCTTTTATTGTGTCCTTGTATTTTGGGATGAGTGTAATACTGGCTTCACAGAATGATTTTGGCAGTGTTCCTTCCCTTTCTATTTCATGGAAAAGATTGAGGGGTGTTGGTATTAATTCTTCTTTAAAAGTCTGGTAGAATTCAGCAGTGAATCTGTCAGGTCCTGGACTTTTCCTTTTTGAGAGACTGTTGCTGCTTTAATTTCATTGCTTGCTATAGTTCTATTCAGGTGATTTATATCGGTTCAATTTTGATTGGCCACATGTCTGGAAATTTGTTCATTTTCTCTAGATTTTCCAGTTTATTTGAATATAGGTTTTCAAAGCAATCCCTAATGATTCCCTGAATTTCCTTGGTGTTTGTTAAGAGAATACTTTTCTACATCATCTTTTAGTTGGGGGTGAATTTTATATATCTATATTATTTCTGGGCCCTTTATTGAACTCTCATTAATTCTGCAGGATATAAATTAATTCCTTAGGATTTTAATTAAGCAATCAACAAATAATAGGAGCTTACAGAATGATGAGACACTTTTTTATCTTTTCTATATGTCATGGCACCATTTAAATAACTTAAGAGACAAATAATGTGGTCAATGATAAGCCTACAATCAAGTGTTATAAATTATGGGATGTATTGGAAATGTTCTTTCAGTGCCATCAGCAATTCCCAAGAACATATTGATATTCATTCTAGTCCATGGTGAAGAGTAGCTTCATCAGAGAAAGATATGCTCCTTTACTGAGGCAAAAATGAAAAGTGAAGTTGACCACTGGTATTGTAGGAAGGGACCTCTCTGTGGTGAATGCTTGTCTTTAAGCAATTATTATGAGATTTTCATATCTCAGGAATGGCCTTTATTCAAAAGAGTAAAAGGTAGACTGCATTAGCATCAATGACTGTATATTAATGAAGTTATTTATTTTGAAAATGCTCTACATTACCTTATTAATTTCAGCACCTTCAGCCTTATGAATAATTCCTTTTGACCTGAAAGTCTTGACAATTTCTTTAGCCATATTGAGCATGACATTAATTTCTTCCTTGGTTTTCATAGTGACAGCAATTTCTGGGTGATCATATTCTAAGTAGCCTGAGAAATAGTAAAATAATTTCAGATGAAAGAAGAATATTGTCTTAAATCATTTTGTGTGGACAATAAGCCTTCATTTCTTCTCTAAACTCATGGGGTCCAACCTTCAACACAGGGAAACGTATCTCTTCCTAATAGGACCATCAATCATTATTCACCATTATGCCAAAGCTCTGCCTGTCATTTTCTTGGCAACATGCATGCTTATGTCTAAATCTCCAGAAAAGGATAGACATCTCTAGTCCTAAGACTAACAGGTATGCTGATCCACCTGCACCAGACGCTGTGTGTGTGTGTGTGTGTGTGTGTGTGTGTGTGTGTGTGGGGGGTGATGGGAGGGCTGCTTGGGACTGTAAGTCTGTTGGTCACAATCTACTTTTCTGTTATGTTTGGATCAGGAATTTTGGTTGTATAGACTGTGGGCTCAGCTATGGCTTCTGATTAAGTCCTCTCAGCCATCCCGGGTCATTGCCCAGTCACCTTTCTAGTGTATCTTATAGGACTCATTCATCTATGTTTCCCTGCTTATCTCATTTGGATTCCTGGATGCCCATGAAAATTTTATCCACTCAGATCCTACCTTTGGGCTTTTATTTAGTCATGACCTCTTGTCTTCCCTGGTAACTATTTGCCATGCAGAATCTCTCAAGCTTGGCCTTATTCTCAGGCTGGCTGCATTCTTTTGCTATCTACTGAATGACATGAAATTCTTCTCCTCTTCTCACAAGAGCATTATATTGTCAGGGTACCTGTTCTACTCCCTGCCCTGTACCAGAAACATGATATGGTATGGCTCAGAGGACAGGCTGTTGCCAGGGGTGGGCATTTGAGCCTCCCAACAGCCTTGCTTGATCTGCAAGATTCTATTCTGGTTTCACCTCTTTTTAAGGCCTAAATTCTTGAATGATAGCTCTGTGAGGAGCGCAGGAGAAAAGTAGTTTCTTTGCTTGTGTCACTCAGGAAAGCTCAAGTATTTCTGGTTTGGAAGAAAACCAGAATTAATAAGCCTATAAAATTAAGTACATAATGATTGTAAATGTGGCTCTTTAAGCAGAAATTAAAAGGTCTTCATTGTCATAGCAGACAGAGAACAAGCATGGAGAAGTCATATTACACTATACCCATCTATACTGTGAAACACAATCATGTTGACTGTTGAAATTATCCACTTTATTATTAATGAGTAGGTTTCCTCAAAGATTAGCAGTTTCAGAAACCATTGCCTTTCTGAAGTGATGATTAGAGATGGTCCTATTGAATACTTAAGATGAAGGCACCTACCCAGCTCTCTCATAGCATTTTCCATATTCCTTGTTACCCTCTTGAGTAAGATCTGCAGAACAAAACACATACCTCCAGTGGGAAACTGAACCATTATAAGATGTCTTTACATTTGCAAGTGATGGATTTTCAACCCAATCAAATAACTATAGAGAAGTAAGATGGAGATTTATTTACTTGAGCAATAGTGGTGCCAAAGACAAGCAACAATATCTGGACTGATCTTTAGAATCTTAAAGGCATGCCATATATTTTTCCATAAGGTAATTTGCTATAAGATCCTGTTGAGTCTGAAAGGTATTTTTACATTTAGCTTTATAAAAGCTTCCAATTTGGGGACATAAGGATGGTTTTCAACCTCAAGTGAGTGGAAGGTTTGGCCAAACTATACAAGAGACAAAAACGAGCTTAAAAAAAAAAAGGGACAATATTTTAGACATCCAAGTTCTTTTGTCATTTCTCTTTTGTACCCTCAAATTCCAGTGCTAAATATCAGTGGTTAGAAAAGGTAATAAAATAGCGAAAAAGAGTTTTAAAGTTGCAGGTAGTAAGGAGAGGAAAGGTTACTTTTTATTGCCTACCACATTGAGTGTACCATTTTCTCAAGTTCAAAGCTACAATCTAGCATTCAAATCTTCTAAATTGCCTTGGAAAATATTGAGTTCTACTCATCCAACAAACTTGTGGGCACATGTCAGGGTTAATCTGCCTCAAATTAGACAATAAATAAAATTTAGAATTTAGGCCCTAGGACTGTCTTTGTTGTTACTCACCACAGGACTCTGGGCACAATCATTTAACTCCCCTTAGCCTCATATTTCTCATCTGCATAACCTGACAATCTACAAGCTTTCCTGCAGATGAGTTACAGCTTTCTTTACTTCTTGCTATTGCCAGATTACTCACTTTCATTTCCTTTACTGTTTCCTATGGGAAAACAAAGAAAGATGGGGAGAGATAGAAGGCACTTTGGGCAGTATGAATTCTCTGCTCAACGTTGCCTTCTTTCTTCACTTTACAGTTTCCTGACAGATCCTGGAGCTTTATCAGACAAAAGCTGACCATTGCACCTCAGTTTCACAAGGACAAAGAGGTGCAGCCCAGGAGCCTTGTAAGTTGCTAATATGACACAGAAATTTCTTTAAGAAGATATTTGAGTAATTTAAATGTGGACTAGTTTTAAGTTTTTATAGAAATTTATTAGCAAACCAGAAGTCAAAGACCACACCTATGCATACTTACTGAGGACATGATGGTCAAAGGCCATCATGGAAGAGTGGAAGAAGCATGTTTAGGTTTTCCTCACCTGTTTAACCTGATTAGAACTTGCAATCTGATCAATTATATTCAGTACATCTGCTTCTCCTTGGACATATCCTTTTATTATAGCATAATGAAAGGACATCTGATGACTCATCTTCTTATCTATTATTTGTAGTAACTTTGGTGTTATGAGCTGAAAAACAACAGGCTACCACTTAATATAAATTATACAAATTATATTTGTTTATATGCTGATTAGTTTAACCAAAATCATTGATAATAAGAAATTAAGTGACCTCAAAGGTAATTCCAATAGTAACATGTCAAGGTTGTTGATTATTTTATTCCTGATGTCTTTATAACAGTAAGACCATAGCTATTTCTCTGTAACCAATGATGTTGGGTACCTATGCCTAGCTTATAGCTTTATTGTTTTTATGCATTTCACTTATAGAGAAGTGGATGCTCTTTTAAAATGGTTTATATTCTTGGAAAATAATGTGATTCATTTTTCAGGGGTTAGGACATAAAATGACTGTCTATAAATTATTGCCACTTTCACATATTAAATCTTCTACAACACTTCCTGGTAGATGGTCTATTTGTATGAGAACCCACCATAACCATTCTTCCTGTCAGACCCCACAATTAACTTCTCTTCTCCCTGTTTCTTTGCTGAGGGTTTAAGTTTCTGGGTTACCTGTTGATATTGTGCAGTCCCCTCCCTAATTTTGCAGATTGGGAAGGTCTCTTTGTTCTTCTGCACTCCACAATCTGCATCCTCTACACCCCAGCCACTTGCCATTGACCCCCAAAGAGTGTACGTGCATCTTTCAAGATTCAGCACAAGTATCACCAAATAAAGGAGGTCTCTTCTCCCACCAGCATTCTGGACCTACTGCTGATTTGCACTTATCCTGCCATTAACATTGGAATAGCTGCATGACTTGTCATGTCCCTTCTACAATAAGCTCCTAGGTAAAGAGACTATTATCTAATTTACATTTATATCCCAAGGGCTTACCTTTTTATTTAAGGGGTCAGAGTTCCTGAACACATAAACAAATTTTTCCTAGGTGGTTTATCAGTTTCTCTGTCTAAACTATTCAGTAGACTGTATATATCCTCCTATCAGAAAGAATTAACTGGACTTTAGAATATACTAGACATGCCTTTCTCAGGTGAAACCACACACGGGTATTACTTATTTTCTTATGGATTACTAAAAAAAGAGAGATACTACTGATTGAATACTTTACACCTCATTGCCTCTCAGTAGCAAAATTATTTCTAAACATATATAAGAAAGGTATAAATGTAAACATTCTATACTGTTAGAGCAAACTCTTGATAAATTGTGTCTCATTTAGTTTTGCATCTCCCACAGTGCTTATATGTGTTTGTGTCTTGTTTGTGTATGAATAGAAAGATAGAGAGAAAAACATACATCTGCATCCAAACATCCTTATATGCCTTGCTGTGGAGTAAGTTTCCTATCATTGGAATAATCATACAGAAAATAAATAGCCATCATACTTAGCACACTTGTCATAGAAACATGTATTAAACCATCAAATGTAATTGTTGATATTATGATTCCGTAATACCGTGCCTTTATATAACTCAGAAAGTATATTGCTCTGTTCTTGGTTAGTGTAAAAATATGCTATTAGCCTTGTCTTTAGGAATGTTTTGTATGGTAGTTTGTTTTGGTTATTTCCATGTCTTACCTCACAAGGATCTATAAAAATGAATATTACTTCCGATTAACATGTACTTACAATCAACTGGAATTTTTCATGAACTATCTATTAAAAGGAAAAACTGTGATGAGTATGTCTATACTTACATGTGCAAAACTAATTTTTAATATAATTTGAATATTCATAATATAAAATTTGATTTATCCAAAGGGAGCTAAAATGTAATCTACAAATATTAGCCCAGGCCCAGCTACTTGGGAAATGGAGATTGGGTGAATGATAAAAATGGGAGAACCCAGACAAAAAATAACTAAAGCAAAAATAGCTGGGGTGTGGCTCAAGTGGTAGGGTGCCTACCTTGCAAGTGCAAGGCCCTGAGTTCAACCCCCCAGGATTGCCAGAAAACAAACAGAATAAGCCCAACCGAAAATGGTTGCTATAAGCCTCATAAGCTGAATTCAGTCCATATTCTGTAAAGCAGTCAGAAGGAATTTGAATTAGCATTATTTGCTTTACCTTCAAAAGGCGTAGTATACGAAGCATTCGAACAATTTTCATAATGACTACTGTTTCAATTAAGTCAAGATCATAATTAATGGCTTCCGTCTCAATAAGTATTACATCTGTGATGCCAACTGATGTAATTACTAACTCAAACAGGTTCCAGGCCTGTGAAAAATATTCCTTCCTCATTGCTGCCATCTGTGGATTTAAAGAGAAATTACAGGATCATGTTTCTGCTCTCACCATATCATCCACCACAGTAATGTCTGCATCTGCCCTTAGGTTTTTCTCCCATCTACCTTAAGACTATACGTCTGAAAAACCAAAAACAAAAGGAAAACCAAAGTCAACCAACCAAAAAACAAGTTCATTATCTTTACCCGTTAGTAAAAGAGCAGTCATAGGAATATTGATCTAGGATTAGTCTAAAGCCCAGGTAGAGATGAAAAAGAACAGATTTATAGAAATGTTGCTGAAGAAAAGTAGCAACAGTGGGAAGGCAAACAAATCCAAATAAGAACATAGTGTGTCAGGTCTTTAATATAAAACAGCTCTACATAGCATGATAATCCCAAGGGCTCTTTTCTCCATTTATAGTATATGATTGATATGCAAAATTGTGATTCTAAGTAAAAACTAAAAAACTAGTTAGTGTTTTATGATACATAAGGGCAAAATTTTGTTAAAGTCATTCAATATTTAAGGATTTACTTAGGGCCAGTCATGTGATTCACACTTATAATCCCAGCTACATGGGAGACAGAGATGGGGGGAGGGGTTCAAGATTCAAGGCCAGCTCAGGCAAAAAATGAGTAAAATCCCATCTCAACTAACAAGCCACACATGGCGGTGAGCACCTATAATCCAAGCTAAGTGGGAGGTGGTAGTAGTAGAATTGTAGGAGGATCTTAGTCCAGGAATTGCAGGAAGATCTTAGCACAATTGTGAGATGATACTTGAAAAATAAACTAAAGCAAAAAGGCCAGGAGCATGGCTCAAGTGGTAGAGCTCAAGGTTGAGGCTCCAAATTCAAACCCCAGGACTGCCAAAGATTCAAGTATGTAATTTCATTCTGTGATGATGTAGAATAAAAGCCATTTTTAAACTCTTGAAAAATAAACATAATTATTTTATCAGAATTTCTTGGGAATTGCACTGATTCTTTTATTTCAGTAGATATATTTGTAGATCTAACATTAAGCTTCATCAACATTTTTACATTTAAATAAATGCATAATAGAAGCTATGTATGTATGTTTTTCTCTATAGCCATATATTCCTACATTAGAGTTGGAATAACTTGTTAGGATATTTTTAAACAGGTTAAGCAATATGACAGACTTTCAGATCAGATAGTTGCATGTTGAAAAATAACACTTTTTAAAGGCTAACTTTTTAGTTTTGTCTGTTGATTCCTCCACATATCTAGATAGTCATGAGGATAGCTAGGGTATTTGTTGATTGCAGTAACATTTTCTAAAAATAAAGAGTAAGACTTTACCCAGAAACCCAGTATTCATCAATTTGCAGACATTTCTATCATTGAACAACTATCTTCATGTTGGTGGCCAAGAATTAGCTATCAAGGTCCCCCATCCAAGTGTTCATATAGTATAAAAGTAAATAAACATCCATGAGCTCACACCTTGCTAGGCCTAAGAACATTTCCTATACTGCTTAAATTCATTCTGTCCCTTTGACACACACACAGCATTTAAAAATGTATTTTGGCAAATACAGAGTCAATACCTAAAGTATGCATATTTTCTGTTGAATCATCCTAAACATCATCTTCATTCTTTAAAATTTTAGTTATCATATATTCATTGTACAGGGAGGATTCATTGTGACAATTCCAAATAGGCTTATATTGTACTTGGTTATTTCACTCCCACCATCTCTCCCCCTCAAGTCCCCTCCCTGCCTCACTTCAAGCAATTGCAAGAGGTTCCATTGTTCTGAAATTTCATATGAATATAGGAAGTCCATCAACCATATTCCCTCACCTTAATCTTTTTTGTTCACCCTCCCCCCTCACAAGTACCCCCTATACACTGTACCAATTTACAGTCCTGTCTTTTGTTATTAATTTCTAAGTTAGTACTCAAAGGGGTTCCTCAATATATCCCCACTGCTAAACATCATCTTTTAAAAACAAAATTTATTTGTTTTGAGAAGAGAAGAGTTTCACATACTCCTTTAGAAGTATGTCTGTAACTAGTGTTGAAAGGAGCTTAGGAAATCTAACATTCACACATACAAACTTTAGATTACCTTGAGTAGGGCCTCTAGAATATAAAAGGCAAGAAAATAGTAGTTAGAATGTCTTATTTCAAGGTCGTAGATGTTATTCAAGTGACTTATCCAAGAGAGTACTATGGGATACACATTCATTACCACCACAAGGTATCCGATATACTCAAATTCATCAGCAAATACTATTTTATGGCATACACGAAGAATGAGATATCTGTAAAAAAAAAAAAAGCAGCTTTAGCTGAAAAAAGAATTAAAAGAATTACACTAGATAGTTTTCATTATATGCTCACTTCTGCTCCAGCTGTAGACAAAGAGCCCTGCGTAATTCTAGGAAGAGGCTTCATTAGCTGGTGTCTTGGTTTGTGCCAGAAGGGTAAATTGAAAGGGATATGACAGGGACCACTCACATTCCTTGAAGTCTTTAGTAATTTTGTTAATTTATTAATTCCTCCTGGAAAGCTATATTGTTTCTTATTTACTATTTTGGTTAGAGGTTCCCCTTGACCATTCTTGTCATACTTGATCTTATTCTATAGGTTAGTAATCAAAGTGAGTGTTTGGCTTGACACGAAGTATGTTAATCCCAATTATACTCTTACAACTTTTTGAAGTAACCACACAGTGAACCTATTGCACTCAACCACAGGGTTGAGACACCCTAAGCCAGAAATGCCATGTATCATCAAGTTGAAAAGCTTCCATTTAACATGTAGCACGTAACAACATTCAGTCCTCTGGCATCAGTATTAGTACTGACTTCGTCAATGCCGCATCCATCTTTTCTCCAATGTACAACAACTCAGCTAAAAGTGGTCAATGGCTATTTGAGAAAATATTAAGGAAACATTTAACCAATATCTTTGTGGTGCTGTTGCAGGTCCTTTTTGAAGAGCTGTGATTCTGAGAACTGACTTTGATATTTCAAAGAGAAGGAATGAGAGAGCGTGGTTTTTCTTTGCAGTAGCATATCTCATCCTCTCGTGACCAGATTCTCATCAGAAAAGCGTCACTCTAGTTAACTGTTCATCTGATGTGGCACACATCATTTCTTAGCCATCCCCAGATCAAGTCTCCTTAAAGGTTAATGCACCAATTGCTGCTCTAGGTTTGCTGTCTATAAAAGAAAGTATGCTGGCCCTGCCTCTGACTTTTAAGTGCTACCGTCTGCCTTTTGCTAACCTGAAATCCCATCAATCCTTCTGATAAGCAGGGAGAGCAATCCATGGCAATATCAGCTATGGCCTGCAGAGGACATGTACGTCAAGTTTCTCTGCAAGCTTCACTTTGCCTCGGTGAATAGAAATGTCCAGTGGGCCTTCCCAGAGAATGAGATCTTCATTCTCACATAGTACATTAAGCCAAGTACGCAACTTGGGTATTTTAATTGCGTAGGTTATTAGTCTTGTTCAGTTTCAACCAACCGTCCAGGAGTATAATAGTATTTGCTCCAATTGCCCTACAGAGTGCTAGCCCTGTGTCTTCACGGATAAGACTGCCCAAGCCCAGCAGTTCTCCCCAGTCTGCCTTAGTAGCAATATTTGCTGGTGTCGGTCAGGTCCTATAGTTCCTGTAGTACATAGTCTATAGTCTTCTGAGGCAAGCACTTTATCTCGCCTTATAGCTGTGTCAAGACCTGACCAGCTAATTCCCCTGGAAGTGATGAAAAGTAATAAAGACTAAACCTGAGAAAAGAACAGACTTCATTTTGTGATGCCTTTGCAGCATCTGAAGGAAGAGGAGGCTGCTTCCCTGCTGGCGAAGGGGTCTGCTTCTGCGGGACCCAAGAGGCTAAGAGAATCTAGGAGTTCAAACTCCTCCCGTTTGTCCACCTTAGTGTTACCATGTCAGGTCTCAGGGTTCTAATTTTTTTCTGGCCGAGCTAGAAAAGCTGGAAGTCTTGTTAATGCTATACATTTATGCTTTCTTTGCATAGCTTTAACTGAATCTGCCCCAAATTAGATACACTGTAGTGACTTTATTATTCAGTTTTGAATACGTTGTTATATATATTTCCATTGTCTTCTTGGCTTCTATTAGTGATTGGACTTTCCATGTTTGCAATAACATTGTTGACAAATTTCAACATTTTAATACCTATAGATCTGATCATATTGAATACTTTTAATAACAGAAGTCTGAGAAATAAAAATCTTATTATTTCTTCTTATTCTCATTCATGGATATTTGCTTCCTTCTGTGTTTAGTGATCTTTGAGAATGACTCCATTACTTTTGGTGAGGGTGCTTAGTCTTGAATGGAATACTATGCAGCACTGAATAATAAGTACTTAATATTTGTTACGTGCCTACCCAGTGCTAGCTCCAGGACTAAACACGTTGGTGTCTATAAATAAACATGAAGTAGGCAAAGGAGGACCCAATTAGTATATTTTAGTAGCTATAATGTATCAAATACTTTGCCAGATGTTCAAAATATATCAGCTACTCACCAGAATATGACATAGATATTACTATATCCAGCTTTCGGATCAGGACACTAAGATCTGGAAAGCTCATTCAGCTAATAAATTTTGGAGCCAGGGAATTCCAAACCATATCATGACTCCAGAAGTCTGTACTATGACTTACCTTAGGAAAATGATATTTAATTTATAGCACAAATGATGCTTAGACTGCATTAGTTTTCAAATCTCCCCTTTTAAAAACCACACTAAAGAGTTGTAATAAAAAGTATCTTTTTGTCATTTGACTCTTGGTGTATTAAAGACAGCCACAGTATCTTTGATATTCCTATTGAGAAGGAGGGTCTATATCCCTTCCCTTTGAGTCTGAGAAATAAAATGCATACAAATGGAAAAGGAAGAAGTAAAGTTTTCTCTATTTGTAGATGACATGATGCTGTATTTAGGAATGAATCATCTGAAAATGACATTTAGAAAATAATTTTATTTAAAATAGCATCACAAAGAACAAATACTTAAGACTAAATTTAACCAAACACTTGCATTTAGAGAACTACAAGATATTAACTCTTGAAAGGAATTAAAGAGTTAAATAAATGGAAAGATATTCCATTTCCATGGGTTAAAAGGCATAATTATTGCTAAAATACAATAGAACACAAAGCAATGTACAGATTCAGTGCAATTCCTATGAAGATATCAGGCCTGTTGACATGGCCCAAGTGGTACAGCATTTGCTTAGCAAGCAAGAAGAAAAAAAAAAGGAAAAGAAAATATCAATGACTTTTTTTTCTTTTGCAGAAACAGACAAGATAAGCATAATATCCATAGGAAATTTCAAGGATCTCTAAACAGAATAGTTTTGAAAAAGAAAACAATCAAAAGATTCATGATTTCTGATATCAAAATTGTCTTGCAGCTATGGAAAACAATTTGGTACCTGAAGAAATCAAAACATGACCTAGCAATTTTATACCATAAGGGTATCCTCAAGAAATGGAAAGAAGTTATTCAGATAAATACTTGTACATAATGTGCAGAGTACACTACTCATAATAGCCAAAAGGTAGAAACAACGCAAACTAATGAATGGGTAAACAAAAGAGGCATATCCACATATGGACTATTATTCAGACAGAAAAAGAAATGTAATAGTGATACATACTACAAAATGGATTGTCCTTATTGTAATGATATATGCTACATTGTGCATGAAAACATTGTAGTAAGTGAAAGAAACTAGAAACACAAAGACTACATGATTCTGTTTATTTGAAAAATTCAGAAAAGGCAAAAGAAACCAGGTGAGTGCTTCCCAGAAGCTGGGTGAGAAGAGAATGGGAAGTAGTCAAATGGTTCACTTTTGGGCCAATGAAAATGTTACAGAATTTGACGGTTTTGATGGTTACCCAACAATGTGGATGTACTTAATAACACTGAATTGTACACTTCAAAATGAGCAAAGGTTAATTTTATGCTAGGTGCAATTTATCTCAATTTTAAAAAGAGAACACTATTCATATCTCTTTCTTTACTTTTTGTGCATGTATATCAGCAATTTAATTATAAACTGCTTCAAAATATTTTGTAACTGAGGGTGTGGTTTAAGTGTAGCGTGCCTGCCTAGCAAGTGCAGAAGAACTGAGTTCAAAGCACAGTTCATATATATGTATATATATATTATACATATATGTATTTTTCAGAGTATTTAGGCTATAATTAAAAAGCAGTAAGACAAGACTTTCGAATGAAAAGGGACTTACATGTCTTGTGAGTTTCATCAGTGCTCACCTTGATGGGACTCCTTTTTCTTTTTTGGTATTATACACCCAGTTGAGCAGTACTTTTCTAATGAAGGCAAACAATTTTCTACTTTCAGAATAATTCTTTATAGTCTCAGGACTCATATATCTAAAAAAAGGAAAGAGATTTAAATATGCTTAGAGAAGTTTAATGCAGGATAGTGAGAAGGCAGAAGTTCTGTGTAGTGACGACTGTGAACAAGACATTTTTATGGGCATAGCTTGTAGGCACAAGTAGGTGTACTACCATGAAGTTCCATTGTAGAACTCATTAAAGAGAGACTACAACACTGAGGGATATGCAGTTTGAAGTATAAGAGAGTTCAGGGTCCAGGGAGAAAAAGCATACCATGATTCAAAAATATTTCATGTTCAGATACAGCTTAGTTTCATTTTGGATCCCCGTTGTCTACTGTGGCAATGAACAAATGATATCAGTAACGTGCTTGCTCGTCTATAAAATGAGGTTGGAAATATGTATGTCAGGCAGGGGTAGCTAAATGAGAAAGCATATAGAAAGAATCTAGTTTATCTCACACACCTCCCATTTCTTCAGGGAAAGGAGTCAAGTTAAAATGACTACAAAAGGGTTAAAATGTTAACATGGGGAAGTCAGTGTTCAAGGACATTTTGGTAGCACTTGCCAGAATTTGCCTGTCAGTTTCTGTTGATTTTTGTATTGAGGTAGCTCACATTTGGGTGCTATGATTTGGTCTTGCTTAGCCAATCCTATTACTTTTATAAGGAATTCATGTGCTACTGACTAGACACTCTCATTGTGTCCATCAGAAAGATGACAGGACTCTCCACCTATAGGTCTGAGGCCCTCACTTGTAGCTTAATTAGGAAGGGCGTTGGACACCAAGTTCAAATGTGGACCTTGTCTTCCCTATTACTTACAATGTTTTCACTCTGAATTTGTGCAGTTTCTTTGCTCCAGGGATATCAATGTATTTGAAAAGAATGAAGCCATTTGATAATCCAAGAGTCAATATAATAATACAATTACATGGAAAATCTTTGTGTACAGTTTGATTTATTCAGAAATTAAAAGCTTTTATTGAGCATCTACTGTGCTTGCTGTTGATAAAACATAAAGAAAGGCTGGGCTCAGCCTCTAAGGTCCTGCAGAATATTATTGGAATAACAATTGTAGTGATGTGTAATACACATTTGCCACAGAGATAGTTAGCAAGACATCTTGACCCACAAAGGAGACATTATTTAATAGAGTCAATGACAATTTCTTTTTTTTTTCTAAAGCATTTTATTTTATTTTATTTTTTTTCGTTTATTATTCATATGTGCATACA